GCCCCGGCCCAGACTCACCCCCCGGCCCCGCCGCAGCCGCAGCCCCCGCAGCAGTTCCCCCAGTTCCACGTCAAGTCGAGCCTGCAGATCAAGAAGAACGCCATCATCGACGACTACAAGGTCACCAGCCAGGTCCTGGGACTGGGCATCAACGGAAAAGTTTTGCAGATCTTCAACAAGAGGACCCAGGAAAAATTCGCCCTGAAAGTAGGTTTGGGGCCCGGGACAGGGGAGGACCGTCAGAAAGGGGCTCCCAGGGACGACCCCAGCACTGACGATCGGCTGGAGCTCACGGTCGCTTCAGCGTCGCGGTGCTGATCCTGTCCCCGGACCGCGGGTCGGGGCCGGACGGGTGGCGCGGGGTTGTCCGGCCCGGGCGCCCAAGGGGTGCCAAGTGCGTGGCTGGGGGCGGGGCGGGGCATCTTGGAAAGTCAGGTCAGAGTAGACCGAGTTTCCGGTCACCTCCCGGCATGAGTGGCGGGGACTCCGAAGGACTCCAGAGGACTCTGCCATTTTGAGGTTTGAGCGGGATCCAGCCGAGTTGGACGGTTGGCTTGGGTACTACTTCTGCTAATTTCACCCGGTCTCGAGGAAGTGATTTTCGGGGGCTGTGGTTCCCCATCCTCTCCTCCCTCATTTCTTTCTGCGGGCACAAAAGGCCCATTACTCATTGAGTTGGTTGGTCAGTTGGTTTGGAGAAGTTGGATCTCAGAGGTTTATTTAGCCTCGCTCCTTATTTGGGAGCCGGAATGTGTGATTTCACTTCCCTGGGCCTCGCGAGGGCGGCTGTGCAGCCCAGGGGCGCGCCGGCCCAGAAGGTGTAAGGCTGGAGATTCCGCCGGGACGCCGCCCCCTCGCCCCCCCCTCCCCGGGCGCGGGGGAGGGATTGTTTTGATCCCGGAGCCGGCCCCCTCCTACCTCTGTCGCCTGCATGGCTCCAGATGGGAGGACAGCGTGCTGCGGCGCAGTGTCTGCTGTTTCCATAGTTCCATTGATCGTTGTAAACCGAGTCTGTAAACCGTGGCTTGACTCTGGGCTGATTTTGCAAACCGGAGCTGGCCACTTAAGACCTGGACACCGGCGCTTGATGGACAGTAGGAGGAAACGTTTTCCTCGACCGGGAAATCCAACCTCCCTCCCACCCTTTTTTTCTTTTGCTGGGGGGGGGGGGTGGTGTATGAGGAGAATGGTGATTTCAATGAGAGTGCCCACTTAAGAAGTTAGAAAGGACTGGGAGGTCAGTTGAGGTGGGGTGGTCCCCAGGGAAGTGTAAGCCAATCATTCAGGGTCATCAAAAAGGTTTTCCTCTAAGAGGGGTTTCAGGTCAAACCACAATTCTAAAGGTGACACGTCAGGTCTGTTTCCCCTGGGGTGTCTTAATGATTGGAGGAGGAGAAAAATACTTCCTGTGTTGTATTTTTCTCTTCCCTCCCTACCCCCCACAGTGAACTGTGTTTCATTTAGCAAATACAAAACTCAGATGCTAGTTGTGGGTGGATCTATTGCAATATACAGTCAGATGTAATAAAATCCTTGGACTTTGGGGTTTAGAGAGGGCAGGCATATTTGTTTTCTAGATTTGAAGGCCTCTGAAATTATTTTCTGGCTGATTTCATCTACAGCACTCAACATTTCTTGGTTTCTGCTATAAGCTCTTACTGTGGATCTCAATTTTTAATTAGAGTTGACTGTTGGAGAGGAAATGTATCCAAGGGCCCCAAAGCTTCAATGTCTTAGACTTCTCTTTCCCTGCTTACAACTGGGGGGAGGATGAGTTGTTTGTATCGACTATAGCTCTGGCCTTGGAAATTGTAGCTGAGTGATTACAATTTGACCACAGTTAACCTGTGTGTTGAAGAAGTGACAGACGTTCTTTCCAGGAGAGTTTTCTGTCCCTTCTGAAACACCATCTGCTTTTCCCCTTCAGCAGTTTGGGGACACTGGCTGTTCATTCTCTTGGATAGTTGGAATATTACTTAAAGAACAAAAGCTCTCTACTTCTCCTTATTCTGTTGAATAGACACACACGCAAACACACCCCTCTAAAATGTTTTTGAGTGGCATCAAATTTCTATAGCAATTAATAGGAGCAAGGCTTGGATGTCTTTTCTCTTTGAAATAGTTTTGAACAGAAAAATCCAGCAGTACACTAAATAGCACTCATAGTTCATCCTTCTCAGGTTAGAAGTGGTGAAGATTGAAGTCAGAGTGTTTTGACAGGCTGCCTGCACCCATATCTTATAAGTTGACTCAACTGTTAAATTGTAGATTTCCCACACATCTTTGTGTTAAAACTTAATAATAGAGGAAGAAAGGAGGACTGAGGCATTGGGAGACTGGCAGCAGCGTCAACAGCACTCCCAGATCCAAATGTTGGCTAAGACATAATTACAGCAGGGGGTGGGGGGAGTCTGGTTCAAAGAATCTGTCCCAGAGAAATACCAAAGAGGATTCTAGATCTTGAATTTTTGATTAACTTTAGGTGTTGAGGAGTGAAATAGTTTTCAAAGCTGGGAACAAGCTTTAGATTTTAAAGCAAAGAAGGAAGATGAGGGGGGCAAGAGAGCTCACCCCATTGGGAAGTTTGAGAAGGGAGGAGACCTGTGCTTTGGGCACTGTGTATGGCCATTCCTGGGGTTTAGGGCAGCAGCTGGGCCACTGGGGGGGTTTGGAAGGCTGCGTTTCTCAGCTATGAGAGTTGAAGGAAGCCAGTGGCTGCCTAGAGGTCCTGACCCTGTCTATGGTCTGTTGACCTCTTAGCCCTGTTAAGTGAAATCAGTGCTTAACAAAGGGTCCCAGCTTGCCCTGCTGCCTCGCACCCTCTACCTCTGCCATTGAAATGCTCTTAGTGGATGCTATGACCTCATCTCGCCATCTCTTCTGGCTGCTTTTGCTAAGTTCTGAGTCATTCATACTTCCAGTCACAATTGGAAGGGGCTTGGGAGGTCATCTCATCCAGGCCTCTCATTTTGCAAAAGAGGAAACCAACACCCAGAGTGACTTGCCTAAGGTAACGTACCCAACTCACTTGGCAGAGGCCGGATTCGAACCAGGTTGCGTGACTCCCAGTCTCAGATCTCTTGCCATCTCCTACCTGCACTGACATCGACAGGGTCAGGCATGGGGCTGCTGTCCCAGAGCACCTGTAGCCTGAGCAGCTACTGCCTTACTGTGGGCCCTCCTTTAACTGTTGGCCAGGAGCACCCAGTGGATACTTGTCAACTCCCCGGCAATGATCCCCAAAGTTGAAGGGATAACTTCTCAACTGACTCAGCAGCGTCATGAGTTTTGGGTCTGTGGTCACGAGCTCTTTTCCCACTCCCTCCCCTTTTTGGGAGTGTTCGATAGGAATCTTACTTGTTATTGTTTTGTGGAAGAACATGAAAATTTTATTAATGATTTCTTTGGTAGGGACACCCAGTTTCACCCACTGTGTATTAATTGGCAGTATTTCCCTTAGGGTTCCTCAGCTGCTTCCTCCTTCACTGTGTCATGGTGACTCTTAGGTATTTGCTGAACAAATTTAATTAAAGCCCACAACGTTGTTCTTCTCTGCGGTGCAACTCTGATTAGGTGAAGTGTGTTATTGCTTTGCAAGATATAGAATGTTGTCATAACTTAGCTCTGTTTATTGTCCCATTCTGTGGCTTAGGGAAAACAAGGCACTATACAGATGGTCCCTGACTTATAATGACTCTAGTTACGACTTTTTGTCTTTACAGTGATGTGAAAGTGATATGCATTCAACAGAAACCGTAATTTGATGATCCATACAACCATTCTGTTTTTCACTTTCAGTATAGTATGCAGTAAGTTACATGAGAGTATGACATTTAATACTTCATTGTAAAATAGGCTTTGTGTTAGATGAGTTTGCCCAACCGTAGGCTAATATAGAGGTTGTGAGCACATGTAAGATAAGCTAGGCTAAGCTATGATGTTCAATAAGTTAGGGGTTTTAAATGCATTCTCTCCACATGTTTTCAACCTATGATGGGTTTATCAGGCCATGATCCCATTGTAAACCGAGGAGCATCTGTAGTTTCTTCTCCTTTCCTTTCTCCAGTGGTCCTTCCTGCCTCTGGGATATGGCTTCCTTTGGTGTCATGCTTGGACATTCATTGTTACAGGGATTTGCTAGCACTCCCCCACCCGCACAGTATAAGTGTCCTATCCAGTGTGCCTCCCTCTGTGTACCTGTGAGAGTGTGGCTATGTTAGATGCAGCTTCCCAACTTGGGGACTCAAAAGATGAGGGAAGTTTGCACTGACCAAGTCGGCCTCTGATATCTAATATGGTTACCAGGAGGGAGAACTTGCTGAGTAGCTCCTGTAAGCTGAGTGGGAGTAATACTTGTATAAAGGGTCTGCAGGATTTGGGGAGTAAGAAAGCTCTTTGGGCCTGGTGGCGGTGGTGAAGGTGGTACGGTGCTGGAGCCACAAGGAAGACTGCTGCTTGCATACTGGGTTGAGAAACGTGTTGGGTGCTTGTGCAAGCACACCCGTGACGCTGCCTGGCTGGAAGGCTGGTGGTGGGGTCACAGCATAATGAGACCCTGTTGCTTGTTTTCTTTCTCAAGAAGCGAAATAAATAAAAAAGAAAAAGCTATTTGAAGAGGGTGAAATGTACAAATATGGACTAGAGCTACACTTTTCAGTACGGCGGCCATTACCCACATTTGCTGATTTAAATGCAAATTAATTAGTGTGAATGACTTAAACCCAAGTAAATTGAAGTCTCAGTTGCTAGCCACGTGTCAGGTGATCAGTGCCCCCATGTGGCGAATGGCTCCTGAAGTGAACAAGCGGAAGGGCATTTCATCCTTGACAAAGTTCTGCCAGACTTTGCTGGCCTCTGAGCCAAATTGTGTAGTTGAGAATAGGGAGCTCTGAAAGATGGACATCGAGGAGTAAAGGAGGTGAAGGAGGCTTCGGCTGGTGTCAGCGGGCTGTTTCTGGAGGACAGAGCAGGTGCCAGAGGTGCTGATGGAGCTGGACTGGCTGGAGCAGGAGATCAGGTTTGTCAGGGGCAGGTGGGGCTGGTGGCCCCGAACTGGAGCTAACCTATCTCTGCCAAAGCATGTGTAAAGGCTGGGGGCGGGGGCTGGGAATATTACGAAGAAAGGTCAGGAATCACTGAGACAGGGCTGTGCATTATTGCAGGAAGGGCCTGGTTTCTGGTGTCATCTGTCCTTTGGGAGAAGCTCC